AAGATAATACCTTTTAGAGAGTTTCGAAATTGTTCAGTATGCAGATAAATATTTGTTTTACAATAGAAACATTTTTCTCCATAAATGTTCCCACATGTTGTGAGCATCAACTTTAAATCTTTTGTCAACAAATACAAAACATCTTAATTTCCTTTACGACAACATTTTGTTTATAACACCACTACATTAACAATAAGCATAGGCAAATGATAAATGTCAACATTTAAGATTGTGCTTTTACTCTTTATTTAAATCAGATCTATTTCACATTGAAAATGTGATAACAAGCCACATTGAAAGTTACATCTTGCATTTTATGAAAATTAAAGGTTTCGAATCATTTTATGACTTAAATACACTAGAAAATAAATTAAAGATGTGCAACAACTGTATCAGTAATTAAAATGATATAACTTATGTTCAGGGTTGGGAGGGCTACTTGCCAAAAACACAACCAGTAACTTAAATGTGAGTATCAAGATATAAAAGTAATGTAACGTGATCACTTTATTTTTCTTTTGGATTACCTCAATATCAAATGCAATGCAAATAAACACAGGAGAGAAGAAATATTAATATGATTTTTTTACTTAAATGTATAATATAATACCATAAAGCAGATTCAGGCAGTAGGTGTATAGATTCACAATTAAAGTATTAGCCTACAGAACAGTACCGCTTCCAGAGAAGAGATACAATTTGATTATTTTACAACAAACACTATATGCTCTTTTTAGGTTTTGAATGAGATTGTAATCCTGAGTTTCCCTATTATTAAAAAAAGTAAAACTAATCCGATTACATCTTTTCCTATGTAACTAAGGATTACATTTTCCTTTTTTTTTATACGATCTTGATTCGTGTTAGATGTAATCCATTACTACCTAAGCCAATAAAAGTCATAACTTTTGGAAAATGGTCTCAAGTTATAAATTATGCCTTCAATCTCTTTCACGTGGAGAACATTGGCCGAGGCGTTGCAACTTCCCTCAAGCGTCCTACATGAAAGAAAGATCACGTTAAAAATGTGTGCACAAACTATTCAGTATGACTATTGGAATGTCATTATGCTCCACATGTGGAACAACAAAGGCTTCTTCAGGTGTGTCTTGTATCATAATGATATTGCTCTGATCAGCAGCAAGACTGTTTTCACCACTACCATGGTCTACATCTGGAACCTCCTCATTGCTATTAACAGCCTTTAGTTACTCACCCTGCTTTTCCTTCTAGGCTGTTGTTCTTTGCCATTGGTGAAATAGAAAATGGTGGGCACTGAAATGTTTTTCAGGGATCTCCTTCCCTAATAAAAATAATAAACAAAAACACATAAAATAACTTTTTGAGGTCTGTAGATATTCAACTTTCTTTTGAATAATGTTGTTTTAAATTTAAGAGTGCATTATAAAAGATAATAGAGGGCCAACATGTTAACTATGCAGTTAATCCATTCAACAATTACGTGTTTCCAAGATTTAGATTCAAAGGATTTATGTCATATGCACATAGGCTACAGTGTAGGAATGGCAATGAAAATCATCTGTCCTGAGCTCCTCCAACAATGAAACATAGTTATATAAGACATAAAATAAATTCAAAATTAAATTAAGAATAATAAATGAGTGCAGGCATAAATCTATATACACGTAAATATAAGACATATGCAAGAACAGAATGTAAAGATAAATATAGTAAGATGAAATTAAATCCTTTTTTTTTTACAGTGATAGCTGTTAAGATAAATAAGTTATAAGATGACAACAGATGAATAAATGTTGCTATTACAATAATGTAAAAAAAGGTAATATAATTCATCTGTTTTTAACATAGAGTATGTGGGGGAAATGGCAATTCTCTATCTATGATAAAGAGTCTTTGCATACATTGAAGAGAAATGTGATGGTTTGCCAAAAAAATTCGATTTCTATGTTTCTATACTTAACTGGCAAAATCTTAATTTGGCCTTTAATCAAAAGAACATTACTCATCACTGATGTGCAAGCTGTGCCATAACAATTATTTAGCATTGTATGATGTATAACATGTATTTAATTAGTAACAACAATTTACACTCACAAATGGAACTAAGTTATTTAAAAAAAGAAAAGGATCTGTACCCATGAGTCCGTGCTGAAGTGATGACTCTCAAAGTGTTCACTGCACAGGCGAGAAGAAACGTTGGGGGTCCATTTATTCCTCCGGATGTTCAGCACCCACTGCCTGTCTGGATCACCTAAAGGAAACCTTTATTAAAAAATACATGAAAACCGACCCAAAGACAACAGGAGGGTTAATGCCATATTCACTTAATAACGCATGAACAACTTTTACAAATATTTCTATATAGTCTGTGTTGGTAAATGTAATCTAGGTTGCACATTTCCTGCTGAAATACATGCATGGGCCTACCAAGTTACTGCGTGGCACTTTGGTTTTGATAAAACAGTGTAGTTCCACTATATAAACGTTACATTCATAATCAACGAGACAATATGCAAGATAAATAGCTATTTGTTGTTATTCTTAATGCTTGTCATTCACACGTTAATAAAATAAAATAAGTACCGATACATAGCAGAACAATTGTGGCGATGTTCAGCTTAATAAGCCTTGTTCAACATCATTTCTTTAGCTAATACTATAGAAGGCTGCAGGCGAACCAAGTCCGCGTTTCGCCGTTTAGCTTCGGCGGCCACCACTGGGATAATTGGGTTCCCTTTTAACATTTGCTCCCATTTAGCATTATGGGCGTCATAGCCATAGACTATAAAAGTCTTACCCAAGGCTGAATCATAAACTAAACTGTAGGCCTATATATATATATATACACACACATGTATAAACTGGGTTACGTCCTTAGCTGGCTAATAAGCTACATAACAAGCTAAGCTAACAAGCACACAAACACCTGCTAACGGGGTTAACATGTATAATATTATCATTTTACTCACCGAAAAAAGCTGAGAGTAGACTTCTTGGAAGTTCTGTTAGTACGTTCAAGCGCACAGCACGACATTTTAATTGTCTGGTATTTGTAACAATATTCCCACAATCACCACGAACACGGCTAAAGGGTCAAGTACAGTAACTACGACTAACTAACGTTGTAGCCTCTATGGTTGTAGCCTAGCAGAGTGGAGAAGTTGCTGTTAGCTGACAGTGAGGCATGTACGTGTCCATCAAAGTGACCACGTCCTAATTTATGCAAACACTTTAAGACCTAATATAAATAAAAGGGTCGTGTTAGAAAACAATTCACTCACAGATCCATAATCATGAAGGTGGAATCTAACTATATTGATAATAAAAATGTATGGAGCCAGGGGTAGAAACATGTTTTTTTCTGCTGTAAAATTGGGCATTTTAACATGGGGGTCTATGGAAATTGCTCCTTTCTGCAGCCATCGCCTATCGGCCAATATATGAACTGCAGTGTGTGGCACTTCCGTATTGGCGTCCCGGCTCTTCCCCAGAGTTTGCCGCTTGAGCCCAACATTAGCCACCTTTAGCTTAGCGGTGGCGACGTGAAGTCATGTGACCGTGCTGTAGTTCCTTTATAGCCCAACATTAGCCTCCTTTAGCTTAGCGGTGGTGATGTGAAGTCATGTGACCGTGCTGTAGTTCCTTTATAGCCCAACATTATCCACCTTTAGCTTAGCGGTGGTGACGTGAAGTCATGTGACCGTGCTGTAGTTCCTTTATAAGCCAACATTAGCCTCCTTTAGCTTAGCGGTGGTGATGTGAAGTCATGTGACCGTGCTGTAGTTCCTTTATAGCCCAACATTAGCCTCCTTTAGCTTAGCGGTGGTGATGTGAAGTCATGTGACCGTGCTGTGGTTCCTTTTATTGGCTCTGCACAAGATGGCGTCTATCAACTTCCGGCGGCTGGGTGTGCGGTTGTAAACTTCCGGTCTACGGTGTGGAGTGGTTGAGCGGGTAGATAGCGATAGATAGATAGAGATAGAGAGAGAGACAGCACTGCTGTTCCAGACCGCACACTACTCCACACTCAACCTGGCTGCTGTCCCCCCTGTCCTCAGCTGCACTAAAACAGAGCAGCGATGGCACAAGCCAAGAACCATGGTAAGTACAGTATGTGTTCACAACCAATCCACGGTTTAATGAGTATTTCCTTTGTGCCAAGAGCTGATTTATTTATGTTGCATCAATGACCTTTTCTCAGCAGACATCGCACCACTGATCACCACCATGGCTATAAGTGTGGACGTGCCACTGGTTAACTGCACCTTTGTTCAGGAAGGTAGCCCCATCTCATACCAGCATCCACTTCCTCTTAGCCGGGTTATATTGCGTCACCCAGATGCCCCTCCACCACCACCTCTACCTGTGGATGGCTATAGGCTGGAGCCTATCACCTGTGAGATTGTGTGCAGTCACCAACAGCACCTCCATCTACTGTCACTTGCGACAACATTGCTCATGGCAAGGAAAATCGAGGTGGCCACAAGGGAGCAGAGCGACAGTGTGGAATGGCACCGTGTTAGAAGGCCAAGAATAACTTCTTCCTGTTTCAGGGAAGTATGCCATGTTCGAGGTCAGAGTTCGGCTGAAAACTTGGCACAACGGATTCGGAAGGGAGTGGCGCAAACAGCGTCAATGAAGAGGGGACTGGCACTGGAACCGGTTGCCATCCAGGAATACTGCCGGATTAAAAACACCAATTACTGGCCGTGTGGGTTTGTCATTCACCCAGATGCCCCCTGGTTAGGGTCATCTCCTGACGGTCTGGTGTTTGACCCAACTGAGAGCCCACCTTTTGGACTTGTAGAAATAAAATGCCCAAATGTGAAAAGTTATGTGGACTGTAGCTACTTAAAAATGCAAAGTGGCACATTAAAACTGAAGCAGTCTCATAGCTATTATTGGCAGGTGCAAGGCCAGCTACTACTCACAGGGATGGAGATGGAGTGGTGCGATTTCGTCATTTTTGCGGAGGAGGATATCCTTATACAGCGTATCTGCAGAGACTACGAGGTGGCTAAAACCATTAGGGAGAAGGGAGATTATTTTTATTTGTACATGGACTGATATGCACTACACTACATTAGTGTACCACTCTACATCATACTACATTACTGATCTAACATGAATATTTTACTGTATATAGTTCTTTCAATTGCTAAAACCAGAACCAAGTGTGTTCTATAAGTCTAAAAGATCCTTTACTCAAAGGACCTATGCGAGGAAGAAAGGGGTGTTTATTGGCAGACATTTAATGTCATATGACGTTATTCATTAACAAAAGTTGTGGATGCTAACTAACTTATCTTGCATTGATCTGTTCATCTGTTACATAAACTAGCATTACTTAAATATGCAGAGACTAATTTAAATGTTTAAATATGTATTTGTTTTCCCCGATATAACATCAACCTATGTTTTGTAAAAGTTTATTAAATGAATCTGTAAAATGTTATCATATTGTGGATTTATTATATTATGTATTGTCCTATGTTATTTTTGTGTGCATTTGTTTTGAGGTTATAATTCATTAGTACCTAAACATAGTATGGTACAACTGCTTTTTGCAATGACCACAATGAAATACACAATTGGTTTGGTTTGGTTCGCTGTTCTTTACCTCTCATCATCGATGCTATCTATCGCTAACTATATCGCTATCTGTATGCTATCTATCTTGCTATCTATCTATCTATCTCTATCTATCGCTATCTACCCGCTCAACCACTCCACACCGTAGACCGGAAGTTTACAACCGCACACCCAGCCGCCGGAAGTTGATAGACGCCATCTTGTGCACAGAGCCAATAGCCTAAAATTAGCCTCCTTTAGCTTAGCGTTGGTGATGTGAAGTCATGTGACCGTGCTGTAGTTCCTTTATAGCCCAATATTAGCCTCCTTTAGCTTAGCGGTGGTGACGTGAAGTCATGTGACCGTGCTGTAGTTCCTTTATAGCCCAACATTAGCCGCCTTTAGCTTAGCGGTGGTGATGTGAAGTCATGTGACCGTGCTGTAGTTCCTTTATAGCCCAACATTAGCCGCCTTTAGCTTAGCGGTGGTGACGTGAAGTCATGTGATCGTGCTGTAGTTCCTTTATAGCCAACATTAGCCGCCTTTAGCTTAGCGGTGGTGACGTGAAGTCATGTGACCGTGCTGTAGTTCCTTTATAGCCCAATATTAGCCTCCTTTAGCTTAGCGGTGGTGACGTGAAGTCATGTGACCGTGCTGTAGTTCCTTTATAGCCCAACATTAGCCGCCTTTAGCTTAGCGGTGGTGATGTGAAGTCATGTGACCGTGCTGTAGTTCCTTTATAGCCCAACATTAGCCGCCTTTAGCTTAGCGGTGGTGACGTGAAGTCATGTGACCGTGCTGTAGTTCCGTTATAAGCCAACATTAGCCGCCTTTAGCTTAGCGGTGGTGAAGTGAAGTCATGTGATCGTGCTGTAGTTCCTTTATAGCCTAACATTAGCCACCTTTAGCTTAGCGGTGGTGACGTGAAGTCATGGGACCGTGCTGTAGTTCCTTTAAAGCAGGGGTGGGGAACCTCCGGCCCCCGGGCCTTATACGGCCCGTGAAACCATTTAGTACGGCCCTCGAGGTAATTTATAAACACACGCAAAGAAAACAATTAAAGAAATCTAGACCACAAAATAATTAAACAAGCGAGTGCCCGTTTTCCCTGGTCCTTGAACACAACACGAGCCTAGTGTCATCACGTGGTATATGTCTCGTCTGACAGGGGTGTAGTTCTGACGGAGAGCACCAGAACTCCGCTCCGGCACTTCAGAAATTGCAGTACCCATAAGGAGCCGTACACATGCCGCAGTTTTTGCGTGGATGTGTCTTTAGTTGAAAGCCCAGTGGCGATCTGTTCATCTGTCATACTGATCATACAGTCCATAGCTTTGTTGTTATTAGCATCTGGTTAGCTAGCTATGCTAACGAATATAAGAAGCTTTTTCTACAACCAGTGAGGTAAAGGCACATCTTTATATGATCATTTTAGTTATAAAAAAATAAGAGAATAAAGTAAACAGGTATAAAATACTATATGACAGTAAAAAAAAGTTGTTATTAATAAACAAGAATATAGTTTGAAAGGAGTGATTTGTAAAATATCCATTAAAAAAAAAAAATCTGCTTCCAGTTCTGTTTCATCTGGGTGCTGAGAGATGTATCCATAGATCTCCTAATGTTGCTCTCAAAGTGCACCAGATTGATGCTTTTAACTTCAACATTTAAAAAATATATATATATTCCCGGGAGAGCATGCCCGGACCCCCCTAGAGGAGGTCAGGTCCTCCCCACTTAAATCATGTTCACATGGATAGGAAACTAAATTGCACACATCTTGTGTCCAATATCTTTCTGTTTTGGTGGTCACGCCACAACCGTGCACGTGCATGCATGCGTGCGCGAGTCATGGTAAAATATCTGGATTAAGAGGTTGCTTTTTCTTTGCACAGCATGAAGGAAAGGCGAAATGAATGGGCTGTGATTTTAGTATTTTTAAGCAGA